TCCTTCCAACCTTTCTGTAAGGAGGTGTCTTCCTCCACTTCTCCTGCTTCGGGTCGAAGCAGCTGGGTTGAGAGAAGTCTCATGTTGATCAATGTTTTGATGATTAGCTCGCTCCTCATCAAGGATACCCATGTCGAAGGAAGGTGACCCTCCTTGTTGGGAGGCATTTAAATGATGGTTGATGTCCACAAGGGTAATGAGTTCGCGTGTTTGAGTACGCCTAGTTTCGTGAAGCATCTCAAATAGCTTCTCATACTGCTCCTGGAGGACCTCATTCTTCATTGCTATCTTGTTGTTTTGAAATTCTAGCTCATCGACTTTAGCTTGAAGAGCAACCTTTTTTCCTTCCTTCTTTCGTTGCTACGCACTAGGTGCAAGAAGGGTGTCATTCTGTGTGCTGTGGCTTCCTTCGCTCCCCATGTTGTAGAAGGATGCCTGGTCAAAAGAGAGTGTATGAATGGTGGAAACCAGCTTAACAAAGCTGAAGAGAGTGAGAATAAGTTTCGTTCCCACATACGCGCCAAATGTTGATGCACAAAATCAGTGAAAACTTTGGTACAACAGAAAGTGTTAAGTTTGTGACCTTCGCTAGATTGCTCCGGTCACTAGTATGGATAAGTATGTAAATGGATAGAGATAGAGAAGCAAACACAAGATGTACGTGGTTCACCCAGATTGGCTACGTCCACGAAGTAGAGGAGTTCTCATTAATTGTGAAGGGTTTACACAAGTACATAGGTTCAAACTCTCATTTAGTGAGTACAAGTGAATGATTTAGTACAAATGACATTAGGAAATATTGTGAGAGAATGATCTCTATTTATAGAAGAGAGTTTCTAGTTTCATTCTGACATTGACACGTGTCGTGTTGTGATTGGATTCTAATGTTGACACGTGTTGCGCTATAATTGGCTTCTGATGTCGACACGTGTCGCGCTGTGATTGGCCTCCTGGTTGGAGGGAAACTCTTCTAGGTCCTTGACGGTATAACGTTGACCGGTGCTCAGTAGTTTCGGGATTGGTCAAGTATGGTACAAACAAGCCTGTCTCTTTTCCTACACCGTTTACTGACTTTTAATCATTGCTAGTCCATCTTATAACTATAATACCGTTGTTGTTGGTCATACTTGGTTATTTGATATGGGCACAACACATCATATTACAAGAATGAGAGTGCTCTCCAGGATTTCACGCCCTATCACGATAATGTCTATGTTATTCTTAGTAGTGGAGATGCCATCCCCAATACTTATACTAGTAGTATGCCCCTAACAATTGGTTCGACCACTTTTTGTTTGAATGATGTTTTACTTGTTCCTAATCTTAAAAAGATACTAATTTTTTCATCTAAATTTAATCATGATAACTTGGTTGCTTTTACTATTTTTGTAACATCCTACATCAACCAACGGAGAGAGAGTGATGTGCCTTATATGTACATGCCTACTTCTTATAGAACGAGGCATCTTAGAGACTCACTGGCTTCGGATTCTATTGGAACTCCGAAGTTAAACGAGTTCGGGCGAGAGCATTCCCAGGATAGGTGACCCACTGGGAAATTCTCGTGTGAGTTCCCAGAAATAAAACCGTGAAGGCATGGCTGGGGCCCAAAACGGACAATATCCTGTTACAGCGGAGCCGGGACTAGGATGTGACAAAATGGTATCAGAGTCACTATGTCGTTTGGTGCGAGTGTGCCGACGAGGACGTCAAACCCTAAGGGGGTGAATTGTAACATCTCACATCGACCAACGGATAAAGGGTGATGTGCCTTATATTTACATGCCCACTTCCTATAGCACAAGGTATTTTGGGGACTCACTGGCTTCAGATTCCATTGGAACTCCGAAGTTAAGCAAGTTCGGGCGAGAGCATTCTCATGATAGGTGACCCACTGGGAAGTTCTTGTGTGAGTTCCTAGAAACAAAACCGTGAGGGTGTGGCCGGGGCCCAAAGCGAACAATATTGTGCTACGGCAGAGTCGGGACTGGGATGTGACAGTTTTCCCCACTGGTTCTCTTTGACCTTGCCTCTGTTTGCCTCTCTTTCAAGCTCACTATAGGGATGCTCTTTACCTCGTCACCTCTACATTATCTCACTCACAACTCTTTACGCTTCCACCTCTCATTTGTGGCATTCGCATCTTAGCCATCCATTCGTTGATGTCTTATCCCATTTAAAGTTTGAGTTTTCATCCAATTCATCTAAGTCATGTTGTAAGCCATGTGCGTTGGGTAAGTCACACAAGTTATCTTTTCTTTCAAATAAAGTTATGGCACATTTTCCTTTTTACTTAGTGCACTTTGATGTCTGGACGACTTCTAATGAATCTATGTATGAGTTCAAATATTACGTGTTATGATTATAGTCGTTATTCATGAAGTTTTCTAATGAGTCATAAGTATGAAGTTTTTCCTCACTTTTACAAAGAATGAAGTTTTTCATCACTTTTGCACCTTCTGTCTTATGATTAAAACTATTTTGCATATGTATGACTATTAAATTCTTCCAAAGTGATGGTGGAACTGAGTATATCAATTCCTCTTTTCAAACATTTTGTCCCACTAATGGCATTGTTTGTCATTATTCATGTCCACATACGCCTCAATAAAATGGTTTGGCTAAGCATAAACATCGCCACATCTTCACCATAACTTGTCTTCTTCATAATCTGATGCTCATTCTCTTGTTGTCCCCGATGCACAACAGTCATCTGCACCACCAACTTCTGTGATTGCAACCTCGTTATCACATCTCATCTTCCTGTTTCATCTCTATCAGCTAAGGCCTGTTATCCCATGGCTACTAGTTCTCACACAGGTCAATCTGGGCCCAAACATTTCACAGATCCATTAGCTAAGGCCCGTTATCCCATGGCTACTCGTTCTCGCACAGGTTAATCTGGGCCCAAGCATTTCACAGATTCATAAGCTAAGGCCTATCATCCCATGGCTACTCACTCTCACATATGTCACTCTCAACCCAGACATTTCACAGATGGCACCATCAAATATCCCATTTTTATGGCCCTTGCTGCCACTGTTGTGACTGATTTTGTGGAACCCATTTGCTTTTCTCAAGCTTTCATTTCTGAATGGCATGCTGCCATGAGTGAAAAGTTTAATGCTCTTCTGAAAAATGGTATGTGGTCTTTAGTTCGCTCTCATTCATCCCAAAATATGGTGGGTTGCAAGTGGGTGTTCAAAGCTAAACGACATGCAGATAGGTCTATTGAACGTTATAAGGCTCAGTTAATTGCTAAGGGCTTTCATTAACAACATGGATTTAATTACGATGAGACGTTTAGTTCTGTGGTCAAGCCTACTACAATTCAGATGGTTCTTAGCTTGGCAATTCATCATGGTTGGTCCATTCGTCAACTTGATGCTAAAAACATCTTCATGCATGGTTACTTGAATGAGGATGTTTATATGTCACAATCCCCTGGCTTTGTTGATACTTAACGCCCTTCATTTGTTTGTAAACTTCACAAAGCACTTTATGGCCTCAAACATGCACCTCGGACATGGTTTCACCGGTTTAGCTCATTTATCATGCGCCATGGTTTAGTTCAAAGCCAAGATGATCCCTCATTATTCACGTTTCAACACTCATCTTGCACTTTGTATTTACTCTTCTATGTTGATGATATTGTGCTGACCGGAAGTGATATAGTTATGATTAACAAGTTTATAACTCTTCTTGGCCGTGAGGGTTGATATTAAGGACCTTGGCTCTTTACATTATTTCCTTGGTCTTGAAGTCACCATCATGGCTCATGGTTTTCACCTATCTGAGACGAAGTATGCCCTAGATCTCTTTAAGCGTATTGCCATGATTGATTGTAAACGCTGCTCGACTTTCATTGCTTCCAAGTTGCAATTTTCTAACCAAGATGGAATGCCTTTTTCTGATATTACTGAATTTCAACACTTACTTGGCTCTAATATCTCACCTTGACACGTCTCGACACCACATTTGTCGTTAATCATATTGCTCAGTTTATGTCAAAGCCTACAAATACACATCTCATTGCAACCAAACGTATTATACACTACATCAAGGGCTCTCTCGATCTTGGTATAGTGTTTTGACGCTCCGCTGGACCTCCCATTTTCCATGGTCATTCTGATGCTGACTGGGCTAGTTGTCCGGACGTTTGCTATTCCGTTTTCGGCAATCTCCTTTTTCATAGACCTAATCTTACATCTTGGAGCTCAACTAAGTTGCCAATGGTCTTCCATTCTAGTGCTAATTAGAGTATCGCGCTCTAGCTCATACTTGTGTTGAGTCTATTTGGCTCTTCTATCTCTTGTGTAAACTTCCCCACCCCACCTTACACCATCACCTAACTTCATTTATTGTGATAATATGATCAATAGCATGGCCACCAATCCTATCTTTCATGCTCGGACCAAGCACATCGAATTAAACTACCACTTTGTCAAGGAGTGTGTCAAACTTGGCAGTCATAAAGTTCTTTTTATTCCTTTTGTTGATCAACTTGCTGATGGTCTTACCAAAGGCCTCTCCAAGCAAGCAACGTTTTCTCCTCATGTTCCAAACTCGTCTTTCCTAGACCGTGGAGTTTGTAGGGAGATGTTAGCACCGGTTCGATTCTCTAGATTGAGTTAAGTTTAGTAAGTGGTATAGGGAAATGAATCAATTGTAATTACTCCACAGTTCTCTAGATTGAGTTAAGTTTATTAAGTGATATAAGGAAATGAATCAATTGTAATTAATACTACATCAAATATATTCTATATAGAGAAATGCTAAGGAGATTCTCTTAAAAGTATGACTCTTTTATAATAGTGGCACGAAAATTTAAGTTAAATTGTGATCACTTTTGAAAGAGTTCCCTTAGCATTTCTTTTCTATATATTATGTAACTTGGAATGAATTATGCAGTGAAATCCAATCATAGCTTTTCTACATCTGGTTCAGTAGCCCTCCTGCTCCCACGTGGGATATCACGTAAAATTCACTCATACAGCTGCCACAAACATCACATAATTTCACAGCAAACAATGTATATTTTATACAGTATTTGGTAGCAGAATATATATAAATAATATATAGAACAAAACAGCAAAAATCATACACTTGTGTTCCTTAGTTGTATATGAACGTATTAATCCCAGTTAAATATTTATATTTTCAGAATTACATTTCGTCCTCACACCAGACAATAAAAACTAAAAATAAATTTAGAAAAAGACACACAATTAAGATGAGTGATGGATCGAGGACAATAAGGATCGTAAACTCATCGGGAACGGCGATTAACTCATCGGGAACGGCGATTAATCAGATGATAAGAAGTTCTGCTCGGTCTTTGAACGTGTATCATTGATTCAGAAACTGCACAAGTTGTCTTACAAGATAATGTAGAAAGATTGAAGAATCCAAATCTTTCACTCACACTCCTTGAGACCTTGGCACCAGCACTTGAGTATCCTTGATCGTCGTCGTCGCCGTCGTCATCCTTGGAACACTCAACCAATGCAGCAAAGAAAGGATCCTTTCGGAGATAATTAGCTGTATGCCCCTTGCCCTTGGAGTTGCTGTGTCTCACCTGAATATCATCCACGATCAACTTTTTTGAGGTGATTTTCTGATTACTGACTCTGGGAGGAGGTTGTGGGAGGCGCTTCAGTGAGGAAAATAATTCCTTCTTGTTGCTGCTAGGTTTCTTTGGAATTCCGGGAACATGTTCCCAAGAGAAAGGGACACCGGAAAATCGAAGCGGGGTGGCCGGACTAATAGGAGGAGAAGAATCACGATCGAGATTACAGGACGACGATACGAAAGATGAAGACGAGGAAGATGAGGAAGAAAATGACGGTGTTCTTTGAGAAGAGTGTTGATACTTTTTCATGGCTGGAAATATAGAGTTACATTTTTTTGAGACAATTTGGGTACGGCATTGGCCACCACTTGCATGATCAGTAGGTGAGGAGGAGGACTCCATATGATATATGGAGAGTCGTACTACTTGTTTAGTATCTTTCGATTCATCCTTCTCCAACTGTGTCTATAAAAATATATGGTGCTACCTACAGATCCCACTGTCTCTTTAGATATTAAAAGATAATAATTAATGATGATTATGAATTATTATTATTTTGATTAACTAGTAAAACGACCCCAGGAGAATTGATCAATATGACAGAGTAAGGAAAGAGACAAGGACTATCACTTATGACTACTTATTTTTCTTTTAAAAGTGAGTGTGAGGTCTTAAGGCGGTGTTAAAGATTTCAGATGCGGGAGGACCAGTACATAAACCAAGAAAACGATTCCATACTTGAATTTCTTACCATTGTGGTTCGCATAGAGAAAAATTACCATATAAACTATTGATATCTATTAAAACCTATTTTCTATTATTTTTTGCCTTTTTTACTTTTTCAAATTTTTAGTTGGGGGGGGGGGGGCGGTGGGGGTTTTAGGGTCCACATTAGTAGCAAGTTTTCTTAAACCCGCTGAATGAAAGTCTGATATAGAGAAAATTGTAGCAATGATTTATTAACTTTAACCTAATTGGAGGGTTGGTCTCTCAACTAAAAATTTGTGATCATTAATCCTTTAACATATTAAAACGTGTAGCTATGGTCTTTTCCGTCAACTCCTTAAGAACTTCCATCAAAATGAGTCATCGTAGAATGACCATTGCTACAATTAGGTTAAGGTTAAGGGGCATTACTCCAATTGGGTTAAAGTTGAGAGACCATTGCTACAATTTTTCACTTTGTTTTCCATATTTGCCTCTTGATTTAGCCTCACGTTTGTGGCATGTGACTCATTTTGACAAAAGTTCTGACAGAGTTGACGAAAATGACCATAACTGCATATTTTGATGAGTTAAGAGATCAATGGTCATAGATTTTTAGTTGAGGGACCATTGCTCCAATTCAGTTAAAGTTGATGGATCATTGCTACAGTTTTCTCCCCAGTATATAGCTTTTTATATGATCGTGTCGGGGAGGGAGGGGGTATGCCATCTAGGGTCGAAGTATAGCTCTGCCTCTGGTCTTATGTTCTAATATAGTGTATGATGAGTTTTGGTCTATTGTGTGGCTCCTCACTCTTAGGCATGTTAATTGAACGGAAATTGAAATGCATTTATTAAAATATAGAAATGAGAATCAATTTACTTCTAAGCTTTCTTATGATAGTCAAATACCTAAATATTAGGAGTCAGATCAACTAGAAAAGGGTAGTTAATCTTATTCTCTTTCCTATGTTTCTTATTTCTAAGTTCTCTCATTCATTCTTTATTCCGTTTATGAAACATATTGTTATAATAAAAAAAAATAAGACTAAAAATCGGAGATAATGACTATAGTGGACTCATTATGCGTAATTTTAAATTTGATTCATGTGAATAGCAATTTGATACCAAATTATTACGCTTAACTATTGACATGGATAGAATGGAAATTTGAGTATCAATGTGGTGATGATAAAGCCATGTTTTTGTTGTATTCCTAATTTCATTAGAAGTGTGATTGTGTAGATCTGAATCCTATAAAATCTAGAAGGTTTTTTCTTATACAACTTGTATTACTTGGAGAGCAAGTTTTTTCTCCCCCATTAGTACAAATAAAGGCACAAAGCACGAGGAATATTACTCACGAACTCCTTAATCCTTTCTCTCCCTTCTTCTCTCTCTAGTCGATCTCTCTCTTTATTTCCCCTCTAAATACGTACTACAACACATTATCAGCATGGTCCCATTATTACGATAATGAATTGAAGAATTTTGGAGAAGGATCTTCTATAACTAATATTCAAAGACTTTCATCGTTTCCATCCAATTTATAATCATCCATACGCTAGATGCAAATGAGATTCTTAAAGAGGTTTTGGAACCTAAAGTTCCATATCTAAGTTCAACTTTGTGCTTTGTTGTACTTAGCTCTTTGCATTAGACAAAACATCTTCTTCGTTGTTGATATGTTGATAAAGATGCAGCATTGCGCCTACTTGCAGCCACTAAACTGGTATAAAGACGTTTTTCTATTACTACGGATTTTTGCTCATCCCTCCGCATCCTGAGTGGTTCCAACCCCATGATCCTTGAAATGATGCTTGCCTTGTTTGTTATACTGACGCATCTTATGTATCAAACCCGCACAAGGCATACTCATATACGATTATGTATTTACCGTTAGGAATACCGCAATATTGTGGAGGTCAACAAAATAGACCCTAGTTATGAAATCTTCAAATCGTTCCAAGCTAACCGCATCCCATTATGCCACACGTGAGAGATATGGTTGAGAGCTCTTATTGAACATATTCAAAGTACCTGTGGTTTTTAATTCATCATTGAGTCTCAATAGTAATCTATGAAGATAATGTCGCATGTATCAATTAGACCAACACATGATACATCAACCAAGTCAACACCAAGTATATTGCGCCCTCATCACATCAACAAAGAACCCAAAGATTGAAGTTAAACAAATCCGATCCCAAGACAACCTTGCCGACCTCTTCACGAAGTCATTGCCGAAGTCTACCTTTCAGAAGCTTGTTTAAGGAATTGGCATACATAAATTGTCTGATTTGCAATGCTTGTAGTTCTCATTTAGAAGTTTTGTTAAACTGAGGGTGAGCATCTAGAAATATACTCACTTGACCTTAATATACTTTCTTTCACTTAGATTAAGAGCATTTTTTTCCACTGGGTTTTAGCTAACTGACGAGGTTTCAACGAGGCACCTATCCTAGGATGGTCATACCTTTATGTGCTTTCCACTTGCTTCCCGAATGTGTTTAGATTTGATATGATGCAACTTCTTACCTTTCTCTTTAGACTATCGGTTTTATCTTACTTTGGATTTTACCATAATTAGGTTTTGTGAGTTTTACTACTTATGCATTCTAGACGATACCACTTTCATCAAATAATTCTACATCATCACATGAAGACCTGATACACCATTTATTTGAGTATTTAGACCTAAGTGAGAGTATTGCCATTCTAATTTCACTAGGAGCGTGATTGTGTAAATCCTAGTAGATTATGTATAAAAATCTTATGAGATTTAAAAGATCTTTTATTGTACAATTTGTATTACTTGAAAAGTAAATTTCTCAATCTCTTATTAATATAAACAAAAGTACAAAACATAAAGAATATTACTCATGAATTCCTCAAGTCCTCGTCCTTACCCCATTCCCCTCTTCCTTCCTTACTAAATTCCAACTACAACAATTTTGTAATTGTATAGTGTGGTCACCGTGGTGGGGTTCCAAGGGGTGGTTGAGAGGAATCACGTGGACATGGGTTCAAATCAATTAATTATATTGGTGACAAATCCCTAAAAGTCCTTTAAGATCCATGTGTTCTTTCGAGGGGTTCACCTATTCAATGCTATGTTTCCTCCTTTTTTCCTAGTTTTATTTTTAGTTTTTAACTTTTAATATTTATATTGCCAAAATTAATGGGAAACAAATTGACACAACAGAGAGAGAGAGAGCTTCTTTGATTCAGAATTAAGTAGAGCCTCCAATCAAAGATAGCTGGTGCCTTCACACATTCATCTATACATTGACTAAACTTTTAAACTATATTTTATAAACTAGATGATATGGTTATTGATAATTAAATTATTATTTAAGCGTTGATTAGCATACTTATTTTTTAGTAGTGACACGTTATTTAGTTTACAAATTTAATTTAAAATTTTAATCCTTCTAACATCACCCTATAGCTTAATCACTCTTCAAGAACTTTTCTATTTTCGTTAACAAATTTAAATATTGCAAAACTAATTGATTAATGCATGATGTTAATTGGTGATCAGAGGCATTAATTCATTCAATATTGTTGAAGTGACCGTGAACAAGCCACATTCAATAGGAAAGTGAGAACGTCGATGACTATACAGTTGCATGAATTACAATAATGCTAATTTTTTTAGTTTGGTACGAAAATCCTCTAATTTCATATAAGTTGTTATTTTTCTATACCCGTTATCTGCTTGATGTAAGTGTATCTGAAACATTTTATATTTCTTTTGTGATAAAAAAGAAAAAAAATAACACAAAGGAAACATCTTCATCCTTGCGTGGAATTTTATCATGCACAACGTTGTATGCTCTGACTCCCAAAAGTTTCTTGTATTATTTTCATAGGCTTCCAAATAAGCTGAGGATTAATGTGTTGGAAGTTTCTCTCCACGTCCAAAACACACTCATGGTGTTGCATTGTGGACCAAAAAGCATTGCCAATTGGCATCGGAAGCTTACTTATTCGTTTTTTTTCTTCCAATTCTCCTCAAAGATGTAATCATTACGAGATTGAAAGCGTGCTGAAAGAACATATGATGATGAAGAAGTTCACAAGCATTTAGCTTTATGGGAAATTTCCAAACGAATAATTTCAACAAAATTTTTCAGATGATTCGGGTAGGAAGGTATATCTTTTCAATTTTAACCCAAAATGTTTCGCGTCACTTAGTACTACGATCTAGTATTATTCATCTTCACTTGTAAGTAAGATGTCTTAGGTTCGATTTTCACCAAATGCGAAATTGAACCACATTATTGCTAGCTCATTGTGGGATTTAGCCCACTCCCTCACCTCTTAATGTAGACAATATCATTTGTTAAAAAAAAATATTTCGAAAATAGATGTATATTCCAATAACATAAATTCATGCAGATTCGGAAATTTAATAATCGGATTAAATTTCAAATTTCAAAATTATAGAGTTGTATGGCTTAATACAAAGATCAAAAGTATCCCATCTCTCTGCATAAGATATGTTTTTATATTTCTCATTTTTTTAATGTATTTTTGGAATTTTGGTTTCGAATTTACATCAAATGGAATACTTGAAACTTAATGAATTTTGCAATCCAAGTTGCATCCCTAGTAAGAGCCTTGGTAAATTTCCTTACTTAGGAAGGGAAGTAAATAGACTTGGACAATACCCTAGCTAGGCCAATTGAGCCCAAGAAAATTCCATAGAATCCCTAGATTGAAAGGGCAAAGCTGCCCAAGTCACGCAAGTCAGACCCAATTTGAGAGGGTAGAGATGCGCTTATCAGCCAATCCTACTAAAGTTTCTCTATACAATGTGTATATGTTGCATCACCACGATCGTGTGAAAGCGGAACTCAATAAATAGCCAAGCGCTTTATTTGTAGAAGGATTGAAATTACTACGCAAATGAGATTTGTTCCCATAAGAAAGCAGTTTGCACCCAAGAGAAAGAAAACACAATGAGAACAAATGGCATACAACATGTTTACCGTGAGTTTCCTTATCAACCCCATTACCCAAAACATAAAATACACATTGAACAATGAGACAGAAGCTCTTCAACATAGGATTTGAAGAGAACTGCATAGATTTCCTCAAAGATCAAAATCCCAGCTTACTGGAAGGGAAGAACTACACAAATTCTCGCCATAGGTGAGGGAAAGAGATACGTAAAGGTGTCTCCCAAAACACTAACCTTTTCCCCATTCTTCACCAGAACATGTCTTTCGATCGGCAACCACACAAGCCTATGACCACTTTCATGGTTCCCTAACCACTCAATCCTTTTCCAACAAAAATTTCCACAACCAAATCCCAAGTAGTGCCATGTTACTTTTAATCACATTCCTAAGTCCTAACCCTTTTTCCATCAGGACATTTTATTATACACTATTGTTATATCCAATGAACCAGAGGTCGCACTTGGTGCGATGGCAAGTGCCTTCGCCCATTAGCGGTAGGTCTCGGGTTCGAGACTTGGGAGCAGCCTCTCCATAAATGGGGGTAAGGCTAGCCGACATTCACCTCTCCCAGACCCTGCGTAAAGCGGGAGCCTTGTGCACTGGGTACGACCTTTTTTTATTGTTATATCCAATGAACCCTATTTTGCTCAATCATATATTGCATATATCGAAGTAACTTTGCCTTTCGAATTCTTCCTTGTCAACCAACCCTCGGCACTCATAAGAGTCTATTTAACATAAGTCCCACAAAAGCAAACAAAACGAATGATAAGAAACCCGGTTTCACAAGAACCACCGTTACCCATGTAACAATTTGACTACTGTATTTACCACACCCTACATTACATCCAGATATTGACACACAGGAAGACATATAACTTCTTTTTATCAGTCCAAAACGAAGCTGAAAGTGTACAAAGCAGACCCCATCTAGCCTAACCAAGAAGGTCAAGCAATCGAGAAGGTTAAGCCAGGGAGTAAGCTTAATGGAGATGGCCGGTAAGCAATGTTAAAAAAAACTTCACATATGAACCAATGGTTAACCAGTAAACAGGTCTAAAATGATATAGAGCTAAAATGACTTTGGAGTCATCAGATTAATGCCAAACAATCAAACTGAGTGGGCAGATAAACAAACCACTTGTTTATTGATTCCCACAAACCATCAAGTAAGAAAGCTATCGGTTCATACATTCAAACCAACACATCAATATCAAACACGAACAATAATTGTAAACACACATTATATATTACTGTTAAACGTAATGCACTTTCTCCCTGTTAGTTGTAACAGTTGTTAAGTAGAGTTGTGTCTCTTGAGAAGAGCTATGTTTAGGAAGAGTTGTATCTCTTTAGAAGTCCAGGGTTGTGTCTGCAACTCTTGGAACTAATCCAAGAGTTATGTCTGTTATGAAAAGGTCTGAATGTTATTATAAACAGCCAATAAGATGGCCTAGTGTTGTAATCAATTTGAAATCAATAAAGTCAGTTATCAATAAAGCTTCAGTTTCCCGTTTTAAACTCTCTTCTGTATTCTCTCATAACCATCTTCCTCCAACAATTACTGGGTTGAAAGGATCCAAAGAGACGAGATGCGGCATCAGTGAAGGGAAAAGTGCATGCCAAAAACAAAAACAGATAGAGCATCGCTGGATCAGATGACAATACAAATCATAATGTATTACAATGACGAGATGAAATGAGAAAGCAATCATACATAAATGATAAGCTGCATAAATTACCGGACTTTAAGTAACTAACATTTCAGTCAATTTTGCAAGTACAAGATCAACAAAAAAACAATACATCGCTGCTTAAAGAAATACACAAGGGCATAGTTCATAACATTTAACTAACCACAAGAAAACTTGTAATCAAAAGTTACCTGTCACTAGGATGGATCTACAAACACAAATCACAGACTGACAATCATACAACATTAATCTACAACAACTGCTTTCAACAGTTGGATATATAGCTATACAGCATCCAATGTGCAAAATCAAATCAGCATACAAACCAGTCAACTACTTACTCATTTTGAGACCAAAAACACTTCCGGTTTCTTAGCTTTGCTCGGGGTGTTAGCATTTGAAGACGAATTAGCAGCTGCTACAGTCTTGGCAGCCTCACGTGTCCTCTTATCGAGCTGAATGAGACTCTGGGTAGCCAAAATTGCCTGGGGCACCAACTCATGAGACGCTCGCGCAGACAATCGCCTTACTGCAACGGAAGCCGCATCCTTAACATCCTGAGAATTCAATGGGGCCAACAAACAATGCCCCAAAATTCGCAATGCAGGCTGCAAAAGCTCCCAAGGTAATGGAATTCTGGACCCCTTTGGCTCCAAATGTACACCATTGCTACTAGGTTTCTCAATTCTCATCGTCAACTGGTCCATTTCTTCAGTCACAACGTCAATCTCATCGCTGCCCTCCAGGAACAATCCCGGATTCATATCGGGCTCGTTGGTATCATCATCACCGAATTGTCGCAGACAAGAGCAATCCTGGCCGGCCCAAGAAGCTAGGAATCGACAAAAATCGATCTTGGACCAAGTGGGCATCTGAGAAATGTGCTTGTAATAGGAATCCAGGGCAACGCCGACGATGCAGGCACGTTTGGTGGACTTCACCGCGACCTGGGGTTCAAGCGGCGGCGACAAAACCCCAATGGATTGGTGGGGAGCGGTGGAGGCAGTGAGGGGGTTGGGTTTCTGGAGGAGAGGGGTGTGGTAGAGAGAGGGTTGAGAGAGATCGGGTATCGAAACGACGACAGGCTTGCCGTTTCGAGCCTTGGTCTCGGCGGCGTAGATGGCTAGGAGAACAGCTTCGAAGCCTGCGAGGGAGGGAAAAGAGGGGGAGTCAGAGGAGAGAGAGTGGACTCGGGAGAGGTACAGGCCGGAGAGGAGGGGGAGGAAGGAGAAAACGACGAGCCGTAGATGGGGGTCGGAGGAGAGGAAGGTGTCGTAAAGCCAGTGACAGAGGGGGTCGGATCCGGAGCCGGAGAGAGGGGAGGAGAGGGCAGAAGAGACGGCGTCGTAGGATTGAAGGGAGGAGAGAAGGGAGAGGGCGGGGCGGTCGGAGTCGGCGAGGGAAGAGAGGGACTGGGAAAGGGAAGGATCGAGGAGTGAAGACAAGGAGTGGATGCGGGAGCGGGCTTTGGAGATAGACTCCCACCAGGAGTGCATGGGGTCGTCGGCGGAGACAGAGTTGGAGGTGGAATCGGGGTTAGGGTTGGGGTTGGGTGCGGTGGCGATGGTGGTGGAGGAGGCAGAGGATGTGGGGGAGTTGGTGCTGTGGTTTAGGTGGAAGTCCATAATGTTGACTTTGGGTTTGGTAATCTGAGTAGTGGGAGAGAGAGAGAGAGCTTGGTTTAGGTGGTTTCTCCTCTCTCCGAGTCGAGTGTTAGTTTTATTTTCTCCCACGGAGGCGAGGCGCAGGCGCGTACGGCGGCTGGGTTTAAGTGACAGTGGGATAAGATCACAAGAAGAGCCAAGACAGAACAAGACAAAGCGTGAAAAGAAATGGGGTGTTTCCTCCATACGAGTGAGTTTCGGATTTGGGTGACTCCATTTTTCACCACAAGCTTCGGTGTAATTTGTAAAATGAGTTATGAAGTTTTAATTTGTTGTGATTTTATAATTGTTTTTTTTGTTTTTGTCAATTTCATCGTCTTATTAATATTATTTGCTGTCGAAGCTGAATGATTGAGCTAAGTTCAAGCTTACTTTGAGTTTTTTTGACAAAAAAATTGAGGTGCTTGCAAGCTTTATGAGCCGAATATATTTAGTATTTAAACTTGATTTGTTTCTTAATCAAGTTAAACTAGGCTTGGTTGGTTCTTTCACGAGCCCAGCTTTAAAGAGTCAAATACAAACTTAATTCCGTGCGAATTCGAACTGTTTCAAGCCGGTTTACTATCCTGATTATGTTTATTTTTAAAAATTATTTTCAGATTAAATTAACAGATACGTTCTCAAATAATAATAAAAATACGGTAATACTAGGTAGACTAAATTTACAAATTAGATGTTGTGTCACCATTAAAACAATAAGTACGTTAATCAACACTTAAATAATAATTCAATTGTCAACTTCCATGTCACTTAATTTACAAAATGTAGTTTTCCTAGCATTACCCATCCAGTAAAGTTGTTTTCTAAAACTAAAATGATAAATTTTCGTAGACTAAATTTTGTAATCTAAGTGTGCAAATTTATAGACTAAATTTTATAAATTAAATAACATGAAAGTTGATGATTAAATTATTATTTGAGTGTTACTTAAATTTTTCAATTGCATTACTCGGGCGTATACCGTCCCTGTACCAGTCATAGGATGACAATTTAACCCGTCAAATCCGATACTTGCAAGTAACCGATCCGAAATTTCGGATATTTTACGATTATGGGTAACCGTTGGGTAAATTTTTCGGTTTCGGGTTCGGTTATGGTTATTGGGGTATCCGCCCCAAACCCATACCTAAAACTGAACCATTTCATCTATGAATAAAAAATATAAATATTTATTAAAAGAGGTTGTTAATAATCATGCATTATTAAATATGAAATTAATTATTTACTTTTATATCATTAATAATAGTAATTATATGCTTATAATTTTCAAGAGTGTAAATATTTTCTTAGTAATATAAATTTTTAATATTATTTATTAGATGCATTGTATCAATTATATTAATAATAGCAATTTATTTAATATCGTTTTTTAATATTTTACATTTAGTTAATAATATAAATAAATATATAAATATCATAATGCGACACTGTTCCAGGATCAAAATTTGTTACCCAACGAGTTCGGTTATGGGAAAATCCGTTTAAAAATTCTACAGGTTCGAATTCTGAGAAAATACACAAGTTCAGATATGAGAATGGCACATCCGAATCCCCGTACCGTGCCATCCCTAACCAGTCACCAAAGGAGCTCAAGAAAATAAGGACCTGTTTGGTATTGGATTTGAGTCCAAAGTTTTTAACTCAAAAATAATTTTTAAATTTTAAAGTAAAAAATCTGTTTGGTAGGCTTATTTTGCAAAACTGGACTCAAAATATTTTAAAAACAGCCATTATAATTTGAAAACAAAAAAGTCAGATTTTAGAGTTTTTTTTTTTTTTTTTTTTTTCACGATTTCATATCCTACCGCGATGGAGGTTTGAGCTGCGCCTCGCAGACCACGAGCAGGCCTTGCGCCTCACCAACGACGGGCGACCAAGAATAAAGACGAACAGGTAATCCTTTTTTTTTGAGTTTCTGGGACTTTGAGACTGCAATTCCTCAATCCAATTCGAAGAGACCATTTTCACATTGTGTATTTGTGACTCCAATTTCGAATTTAGTTTTCTGTAACTCTCTCTCTCTCTCTCTCTCTACTTTCTCTCTCTTGTATTATCTGTTTGTGTTGAATTGCATGAATGTTTGATTGTTTGTATAATTGGTCAATTCTGTGTTTTTATTGGTGGTTTCGGAGATTTGTTGCAGCTGGGTTTACTGGGTTTCTTTAGAATTAGGCAGCTGTTGGGAAAATTGGGGGAAATTAGTAGTGCGTGCATCTGCATGGGGTTGTGGGATTCTTTAGAATTAGGCAACATCACGACATGAGGTTGTTGCTGTGAAAATGTGAGAGAATTGGAGGGATAAGGTTCATGGTGGGTGGGAGTTCTCACTTCTACCAAGTCCTAATCACCAATGTAGGTTCAGATGGGGAGGTTCTTACTGTGAAAGTGAAGGGTTCAAGGACCGGGTGGATACCGATGGCCAGGAACTGGGGACAAAACTGGCAGAGCAGATCAACTCATGGTCATGTGTCCCTTTGTCGCTTAAGTTTTTCTGCTGTCCTATATAAAGTTTAGGTTTGTGGTAAAAAAGAAGAAGGGAAAATTGTAGGAGAAAGTTGAAAAAATGGGAATACGAGGTCCCAGTTTTGTCTTTAAGGATATGATGCGTAGAAAGTGTAGTACTTAATGGAACATGTAATTATTTGAAAGTAAAGTTATGCCCCTCGATTCTTCGGTATAATCCTACTTTAATGGTTATATTTGCTTTTATCTTTTAGTTGTTTTCAGAGATGGTTTACCAATTAACATGTGAAAATGCAGAGTATTAGAAAGAGAAGGAAAATAAGCAGTAAAACGAAAGAAAATATGAGACAGGTTGAGAAATATTAGAGAGAACAGAGGAATTCAGAGAAAATGGGTTCAGGTCTGATGCATTTAGGATGACACTGTGCCAGCTAAGGTAAAATGGGTGAGATTGTAGTCACTAGTCAGTGTACTGCAGGTCATCTGTTTTCACTTCTTGTCTGGACTGGTTCTTCTACCAATGTAATGAGGCATTCTTGCTGGCGTTGTCGATTTCTTATTCTCTGTGTATGCCTATCTTATTCTTTGTGTATTGGGTTTTTGTGTGAATACTATTTTTTCGATTGTTAGATCGAAGAAGGAAGTTCAATTTATCAAGGATCAAGTTTTGGAGTAGCAAACGCCACGCCACCTTCGGTTCAAGGTATGGAAATCTTGAACTTGTAATCTACTTGGAGTTATGGGTTTATTTGGAACTTACTTGGAGACCCAGCAATTTATTTTTATTTTTCTCTTCAATTTTGTTAAAAAACGTATATTCTCTGCCCGTCTGTCTTTTGCAATTACCCAAACTAGGTGTTTAATAACTTTATAAATTTTTTCATGTGTGGTGATCAAGTAGGTATTTAATTTATAGGAATTGATCGGGAACAAATGCGTACTGTCCTTTTTCTATTCAATTGTTGATCTGGATAGACTAGAGATTAAGGTGCCATAAAATAACAATAAGCACTATCCATGTAGCCTGTTAAAATTTTCTGGTAGGCTTTTGTAACGACTTACTATGTCTCTTCCTTTTAGTTAAAGGTAGTTTATGTTTCCTATAAAACAGAGATTAGAACTACGCATTTAAAGAAAAGTTTCATTTGCAGATCACATTTTTTGTGTCAATTGTTATCCACAAAAAGATAAAAAGCAGAGCAATGCAAAAGACAGCAGCGATACTCCCAAAAATATTCATATTTGGTCAAAATTGAGTACAGTAAAAACACAATGCTGTAGCAGGATTAAAAAAAGGACAATCAACTGGAGAAGTATAAACAAGTGTTACATCCGGTAGATTGGCAAATACAGAAATTTCTAAAAGAGAAAGGAACTTGTGTACTCTAACTATAAATCCCAAAATAAGAAGAAATAATGGTGTATCACATCCAGTATATCGCACACTCCTTGTAATGCAAAAAGCTCAATAATCACATCATATCTACTCAGCATTAACAGAAAATTATTTCACTCAAACAAATTGATAACTTAGAACGTGTAAAAATGTTACAAACACTTTATTTTCAGGACAAGACAAAATCCCAGTCTAAACCTCCTACACTTTCTGGCGCTAACTTCCACAATAAGAAAATTGAACAATCTAATGGTAGCTGAAATTACCTTATTTTTGGATAATGTATCTACAGGTGACATTACTTTCGGCTGCACATAGTTCTTCAGCACATTGACTACTTTACTTAGGTATTTTGGTTTGAATTTTAAGAATTTAATTAAGAATTGGGTTAAGAATTTTTCTAAATTTCCTGTCAAATTCCTTGTTAGGATCGGTTTTGGTTGATGCCCAAAATGTTAGCTTCTTCAGCTTCAGCTAGAGCCGTTTTTCGCTCTTGCCCAAATGCAATCAAAAGGTACTTTTTTTTCCTTTCATTTCACTCCCTCTCCCGTTTTTTCGCATTTTCATTCATCTTTCTGCCAAGAATTATTAGTATTCGGGTTACGAAATTATCAAACTCTGGATTGATTGTGTTGGAATGTGTATGTTTTCTTATACAGGGACCCTTTTCTCTGGTTGTATTGTGTAACCCAAAACGTTTTCGATCACTCGTTGCCATCCACAACATGCTTTACACACTCTCCTTCCGAAGCTTCGTGTACATCCTCTGCATTGGACTCATTATCCGTGCGGAGGTCAAATGTTTTTACGTCTCATAGCATTCTTCGAAACTGCCTGCCTGCTACTGCTAGATGCATGGGCGGTACATCATTCGAGGTGAAGACAGACAATGATGTTGTCAGGTTTTCAATCGGCAAGCCACTCGATAAGATTGGTCCCTCAAACAATGGGAACAAGAAGATGGCTGTAACCCGACGTGTTAAAATGTCCAAGAAGGCCAAACTAAATGAACTGCGATTTTACCGCCTCAAGGCCAAAAAGAAGATGAACTCTCCAAATCCACAAGTTAGAATTATATACAAACTTGAAAAGGTTGGTTAGATGCTTTGTTATCTGTAAATGCTTTGCTGCTACTATCTCACTACTTTTTGCATTTTGGTTCCCTTGGTAGTGCGGTTGCTGTTCGATTGAATCCTCTGGTTTTACGTCGATGTCTCTGTTTGTTAGGGTAGATTTGTTGTTGTGTTGCAAAATTCATGTTTAGTTTTTCAGAAGTGGACTCTCGTTAAAATTTTCACTTTTTTCTCTGTTCTTAATTTCTGCATTGTCTAGGCTTTTGACCATCTCATGTAACTATTTTCTTTCTAACTATATTCTTTTGATACTTTTATCTCAGTAAATTGGTTTATTCTTTAGGCAAAACGAAAGGAAGCATGGTTGATTGAGAAGTTGAGGAAATTTGAGGTTCCCAAAGCCCCCGCTGAAACACATGATCCTGAAATTTTAACTGAGGAAGAAAAACATTATCTTAAGCGAACCGGTGAGAAAAAGAAGAACTATGTCCCAGTAGGAAGGCGAGGAGTATTCGGAGGGGTGGTTTTAAATATGCATCTGCATTGGAAGAAGCATGAGACTGTTAAGGTCATTTGCAAGCCTTGTAAGCCAGGACAGGTTCATGAATATGCTGAAGAGCTTGCTCGACTGAGTAAAGGCATTGTGATTGACATAAAACCTAATAATAGCATAATTTTCTACCGGGGAAAGAACTATGTGCGGCCGAAAGTAATGTCACCTCCAGATACATTATCCAAAAATAAGGTAATTTTCAGCTACCATTAGATTGTTCAATTTTCTTAATGTGGAAGTTAGCGCCAGAAAGTATATAGGAGGTTTAGACTGGGGTTTTGTCTTGTCCTGAAAATAAAGTGTTTGTAACATTTTTACACGTTCTAAGTTATCAATTTGTTTGAGTGAAATAATTTTCTGTTAATGCTGAGTAGATATGATGTGATTATTGAGCTTTTTGCATTACAAGGAGTGTGCAATATACTGGATGTGATACACCATTATTTCTTCTTGTTTTGTGATTTATAGTTAGAGTACACAGGTTCCTTTCTCTTTCAGAAATTTCTGTATTTGCCAATCTACCGGATGTAACACTTGTTTATACTTCTCCAGTTGATTGTCGTTTTTTTAATCCTGCTACAGCATTGTGTTTTTACTGTACTCAATTTTGACCAAATATGAATATTTTTGGGAGTATTGCTGCTGTCTTTTGCATTGCTCTGCTTTTTATCTTTTTGTGGATAACAATTGACACAGAAAATGTGATCTGAAAATGAAACTTTTCTTTAAATGCGTAGTTCTAATCTCTGTTTTATAGGAAACATAAACATTTTAACTAAAAGAAGGGTGAGTTACTTGAAATTTAAATTTTGATTCAGGTTAAATTGTCGTTTTTGTTTTAGTACCTTTATGGAGAAGAGATAAAGGATATTGTTGAATAGGACTGAAATTTCACAAATTGTTAGATTCCAAGTAAGAAATTTAGTATTTCAGAATGCATAAATAAGAAATAATTCTGGTTGCCCATGAATTATTTTAAGTCCTCTAACTATATTCCATGGAAGTATTTTCTTTAAGACCATGTAGATGCTTGAGACAATAGGACCTCCTGTCCCCATTTCGCTACATGCTTCTAGTTGATTCACTTCATGGACTGGTGGAGATGGCTACGATTTTTAACATGATTGGAGATTTTTTATCACTGGGGAATGAGTTTATCCCTTATGCAATTTTCTGACGACAATTTCGTCAAGATTATAGTGCTGTTTGGGCTAGTATCGGGGCATAGGATTGATATTTTCAAGAGTGTGTTTGCTTGACATCAATGTAGGGGACAGTAGGTTAGTTTCACTGGAGAGTTGAGTGGCCTCAGTTATTCAGGTCTCCTTGGTGGCAAACCAATGTGTCTTAAAATCTGCAATTCAGTGGTAGAGAAAGTTAGGAAGAATTTAGAAGGGTGGAGGAAAGGTTGTTCTTCAAGGATTACCCTTATTCGATAGAGTCGCATGCAACTTATTGCTCAATTGGTTTTGGGTTGCGTGCTCATATTATTTCAGGTGATACCTTATGCAAATAACCAAGGGTGAAACTGTTAGCAATGATAATTTAGAGGAGAGAAATAGGTCTTTTCTTCGTAAGTGGTTGTGGAGGTTCCTCTTGAGCAAACCTTGCAGGTCTCGATCCTTGGACGGAACCAGGCAGAGTAATAACAGAGGGTGGACTGTGGGATTCTCAGCTTTGAGAGTGATTCTCTGTGAAGTCTTTTGAAATACAGTTAGCAATGCCAATTTAGTTTTTGTGTCCTGTTTCTTAGGTTGAGGATAGTATCTCTTGTTGACTGCTAGTCAAATTTGGTTATGGTGTTCGTCTTTAATAACAAAATTATTCTGTTTTTAAAGGTCTTAAATAAAATGAAATTAAATTTATAGTCTTAGCTTATCTTATTTGTACTCGACATTATGATTCTATTATGAAATCATAACCCCAGAAGGTTGTGATATTGGAAATGACTTTTTCATAAAGGCCAATTGATCAATTGGTTTAAAAGCCATTGATCCTCACGTGAATGCAAAGGTTAACGTTACAATTGCTTTTGTGTTTAAAACACTGCAGGCACTGGAAAAATATAAATACGAGCAGTCCCTCGAACATACAAGTCAGTTCATTGAAAAGCTTGAGAATGAACTAGAAGAGTATCAGAAGCACGTTGCTCGATTTAAGAAAGCAAATGAGGATGCAACACAAGAATCTTTGGTCAAGACATGAACAGTAAGGTATTTTACTTGCCCTCAAACCTTATTTTGACCTTGAGTTCCTGTTTGCTTGAAAGCATTAATATTTCATTAACAAGTGAAATGTTTTGACACCTTTGGATTTGGGATAGTCTGGATTGGTCTCAGACCAAGCTCTTAGAGCATTTGGGGCAGTAATTTGATTAGCGTTTTGAGTTTGCAAGATAGATCATTGATTAAAGATCGTGGGTTTGGGTAACTTGGTGTATTTTTGGAAGATGGGTCTTCCTCAAAAACCATGAAAAACTTGAATGTTGCTAAGTGTGGTAGAATGACTAATTTTGGGGTCTCGCTTTTGCAGCAAACGTTTATGAAGCTGGTGTTGGAGGTGTGTCAGGTTCTGCATTTCAATCTCTTTGAAAAGTGAACTTGTCTTGGCTAAAAGATGGATGCAGCACCTTTGTGCTATGCTCGTCGTGGATTCCGAAACTTTGGTGTTTAGTATTTGAAAGTGATCAATCTTTATCTCAGTTAATTTTTCAATTCTGGTGATTTCTTGGCTTCCATAGCTGAATGGGAGGAGGCTGAAAGGGGGAGAGGGGAGGGGCTGCCGTGAGGATGGGAGATGATGTATGTGAAAATCCATTGGAAATTTGACAAACTAAAAAAACAAAAAAACAAAAATATGCTACTTAGTTATACAGTATAGTTGTATTCATCTTCACTTGTAAGTAAGAGATCTTAGTTTCGATTCTCGCCAAAGACGAATTTGAATCAAATTATTATTAGCACATTTTGAGACTAAGTCCACCGTCTCACCCTTAGTATAGATAATATCATTTGTTAAAAAAAATACAAATATATAATTCTAGTGTTTTTATCAAATGGTTCTTGAAATTGACTCTGACCATCATGATGGTCTTTAAAATTGAAAATCATTCAATGTAGTCCTTAAAAATAAGTGTCGTAAATCAATGTGATCATTTCGTCAAAATTCTGTTAAAAATTTCCTTAAATGTAGATGTGCCCATGAGCGGTAGGTCTCGGGTTCGAGACTTGGGAGCAGCCTCTCCATAAATGAGGGTAAGGCTAACCGACATTAACCTCTCCCAGACCCTGCGTAAAGCGGGAGCCTTGTGCACTGGGTACGACCTTTTTGTAGATGTGCCCCAAAAGATTTACAGATTTTTATCACAAATGGTCCATAAAATTGACTTACACCATCAAGATGGTCCTTGAAATTGACTCAAACCATCAAAATAGTTCTTGAAACACCATCAAGATGATCCCTAAATTGAAAATCGATAGATGTAGTTCTTGAAAATAGGTATTGCAAATCAATATGATCATTCCGTCATAATTTTGTAAAAAAAATTGTTATGTGCTGATGTGGGCTTAATAATTAGTTTAAAAAATTGTCTAAATACGTTTCTGCACAATATAATTTTTTTTTTCTTATAGTAGGACCTACTTCGAAGAGAGATCCCTTCTATAAATTTTCAAAGGTACAAGGCTTAACCAAGGCATAAGAGGGGGTTTGGAATTAATTTTCAACCAACAACAGACACACCTCGGTTATAACCTCATTATCTCAAGGCATACCTTGCCGTTCTTTGAGTCACCAGATCACCAAGGAAGCGCCGAACAAGCTCTCCCAAATTAAGGTTGTGAGGATGTTGACTGCTTAAATGTTAGCGGTGATGTCCCAAAAGTCGTTGCCAATCAGTCAGCTGTCACCAAAGGTGATCTCAATCTAGGTTCAGTTTGGTGAAGGGTGTTGAAGTGTGTAAAGATGAGTGTATTGAGATTTTTTTTTTTTTTTTTAGAGAATAGACATCGAATAAGATAATTACACGATTGGGTTTTTGGGTTCACAACTTTTTATTAACTATTAAATTATTAAACCTATTGTAATTTTTTAATTTAATTAGACTTGTGTTATCCATTTATGTGTTACATCAGCTCATAACAAAAATTTTGACAAAATTGTGACAGAATGACTATATTGATTTGGGACACTTACTTGCGGGACTACCTTGATTGATTTTCAATTCCATAGACCATTTTGATGTCGCAGGTCAATTACAAGAACTATTTTGATGTCGTGGGTCAATTTTCAAAGACCATTTGTGAGAAAAAATACTGATAAGACTCATTTATGTGCCACATCAACACTTGTTATTTTACATATAGTAAGATGTAAGTTGGAGAGAGTACCAATATTATTAGGAGGTGTGATATCCACACACCCTTTTTTACTTCTCCCACACCTTTTTAATTTTCAGCCGTCGAATCAGATGAATTGAAGAAGATCACGGACATAAATTAACAGGGGGTGTGTGAGAAGTAAAATGGGGATGTGGATAGCACACCCCTATTATTAGTTGTGGGGCGTTGGCCCATTTTGGTTCAAATGCGAATTTGAACCAAATTATTGTTAGTCCATTTTGAGGTTAAGTCCACCCTCCCCCTTAATATAGATAATATCATTTGTTAAAAAAAAAAATCATTCAAATATATAATACTATTATATGCCCACACATGAAATTTTTAATTTTTGTTTTTAAAATTGAAGGTGGGAGAAAAGGAGTGAGAGAGAACGTGGAAGTAGAGGTGGGGAGATAGGTTTTTTATTATTATTTTTTTTAAATTAGAGATGTCAAAATCATCTATAGAGGCTTAAACACAAACAAAAAAAAATTCATTTTGTGAAATTACGTTATTGTTCTTAACTTTTTTGTTATGATAAAAGACTAAATAGTTTTTTTGTCCTTTTTAGTTGACAAAGAATGTTCAATTAATATGTAGTTTAGATAAATGAATGGTTCTAACCCTAAGGGTACCCAAACCTTGTGTAGAAATCTTCGGTACTTGTTATGTTACATTTGGTAAGATGTAAGTTGGAGAAAGTACTAGTATTATTAGTAGTGGGGCGTTGGCCCATCACCCTAAAAGTTTAATATGGTATCATAATAGGTTGATTGCTTGAATAAAAAATAAGGAATTATTATTAGCACTCTAAAAATTTCATTCTACACTCCAAACTTTCTATATTAGGAAAGAAAAAAACACTTGTGAGAGGTGTAGAATGAGATTTTTTGAGTGTCAATAACACTCCCCAAAAAATATTGTTGGGTTTTTACCTTGCATGTACGAATTAACAAAAGAAAATTAATGATAGATGTTGAATTATCTGCACATATGATCAATATTGGGGAGTTAGCTACTATGTAGCAGTCTCACGTAAAATAGAATATATAATGAATGGTTCTACTTAGGGCTAGTTTTGTATTGTTGTGCTTTAAAAAAAAAAGCATGTGTTGAGTAGTGAGAATAAACAGCTTTGAAATAAAGCAGTAAAATAATTGGTAAACTATAGTTGTAAAAGTTGTTATAATGTTTGATAAACTTTTATATAAAATAGCACTGGCTATGTAAAATGACAAAAAAGGCATAATACATATGTGTATTAATTTCATCATTTGGAAAATAAAGGTTAATTATTAAAATATATATCTACACTAAAAGGGAGGGGATCGGTTTAGCCTCACAATGGGCTAACAATAATGTAATTCAAATTGGCTTTTGGAGAGAATCGGACCTAAGACACCTAAGACCTCTCACTTACAAGTGAAGAGGAATACCATTAGACCGTAGTACTAAATTATAATTATTAAAAAATATTTATATCTTAGTTTAAACCTCTCACACTCTCAAATCCCCAAATTTAAAAACCCAACAAGAAAATCAAACAAAACAAAAAATGAAATTTGGTTGAAATTTTCATACAAGAGAAGCTTACCAGATGAAGGACGTGAGCTAGGGTAGCGTTTGGTACGCAGACGGGACGGGACGGGACGGGACGGGACGGGACGGAACGGGACGGAACATATGTTCTGTGTTATGTTTGGTACGCGCGGGACGGAACAGGACGGTTGTTCCGTCCTGCGTTTGGTACCATAGGGACGGAACGGAACCAAAAAATTAAAATGACTAAAATACCCAAAACCCTTCTTACGCACAGAACTTCGCCACTGCTGCTTCTTCTTCGTTATCTTCCACTCTCTTCTCTCACCCTCCAAACCCAACACTCATCGCCACCCCTCTCTTCTCTCACCCACCAAAACCCGCCATCTCCACCATCACCGCACCTGGTAAGCGAGTTCTCCCGCATCCTCAGCGACCACAGGAACCCTCACCACGACTTGGAGCTCTCCCTCAATGCTCTGTCTACCCAAATATCCAGAGACTTGGGTTGAGCAAGTTCTGAAACGCTGCAAAAATCTCGGGCTTTCTGCTCACAGGTTCATTCTTTGGGTTAAAACAATTCTGGGTTTTCGACATAGTGCTGCTATCATATTTTCTGCACACAGGTTCATTTTGATTGACATTTTAGGAAGTAGCAAGCAATATGCTGTGTTGTGGGATTTCCTCATAGAAGTGAGAGAGGCCAAGTGTTGTAATAAGGGATTCCTTTGACGAGCCAGATTATATTATCATTGATACCCTCTTTGCTCTAGCTGAAGCTTACATGTTTGCCCAACTGGTTGACTTCAAAGATAAAAATCCAGGAAAAATTCCAGAGGGTGTTGAGTAAGAATACGACTTGCTCCGTGGTCCATGGATGGTAAAATTCTTTGATATCAATATTTATTTTGTTTTTTTTCTTTTCAGTTATGCTGTTTATGTACAAGGATGTTCGAGCTGCTGTTGATTTGTGCCACCGTGATGGAACTTTAAAGCAAATGGTGGCAAAAGACCCTCAGCGGTAAGGATATAAACATTGTGTATTAGTTTCACATAATGCAGATTAATCAATAATTGAATGGTAAAACAATCTTACTTGGTCTACATGATTAATGCTACAAGGTATATTAATGAAGTTACCTCCATAGTTCCTATGCTCAAAATGCTGAGAGATTCTGGCCGTGCTACATTCCTGGTGACAAACAGGTATTTGTGCTTCTTTTATATCTGTTTAATTAAATTTGAGAATTTTTATATGTTTTTGCTGATAATCTATAACACACGTTTTTCTTATAATTTTTTTTACGTCTTACAGTTTATGGGACTACACAAACATTGTGATGAATTTCCTCTGCGAGTCACGTACAGTGGATGGTAGTAGAAAATGCAATTTCGACTGGCTTAAATACTTTGATGTTGTCATCACTGGCAGGTCATGATTTTTCCTTTCCTCTAAGCGTTCTTTGTTGTATTCTTTACCATATATCACTACTTTATTAATTCCTTAATTGGAGAATGCTAATCTGGATTTCAATTGCCCTACCCTTGACATGGTGTAGGTTTTTATGAGTTATGTTGTTTATCATTATGTTCACCATCTCTGAATTTGCTAAGCATTTTCCATCTACACCGCCTATGTCATACTAACTATCATTTTACTAACCATTAGAAGTGGTTACCTATGCAGTGCAAAGCCAAGCTTCTTTCATGATGGTAACCGTGCTAATCTGTTTGAGGTAGAACTCGAGTCAGGGATGCTAATCAATACTGATAATGGTTCTCGGCTTAGGTTGGTATGCTAATCAATATTGTATGTCGCATTATACACTCGTATCCTCTTGTTTGGATCAAAACTTGAAACTTTGGGCTCAAGAAAGGAGTTGGCCCAAAAGGAGGCCCGAAAGGGAGATAGCCGAAGCCCAGTCGAAGCCCAGAAGGCAGAAAGGGCCTTTTCTGACTAGGTGCAGCTCATGAAGACCACTTGCTTACCTACCCAAAGGCCAAGTGGTATAGACTGATCAGCTATACAGCCCATAAAGTACTTTATAATGGCAGTCCATGTAAAATAGCTGATGAGTCATCACCCTCAAACCGCATTCGGGCAAGGCCACTGCTATAGGAGCCAAGCCAAGTTGTCTATATAAGAAGAAGGAGAAACCAGGAATAAGGACACTCAAACAAACAAACAAATGCAAGCACAAACTCTGCTCAAAGCCAGATTTGCCTTCAAAACAAAGCTGTAGTCAGCCTTCATCCCTTTCGGGACAAGCCTTCATCCCTCTCGGGATAACCCTCTCTTCAACCTTTTGTAATAGCTCTGCTACCTTGTTCAACCTTGCTGTAGTATCGATTCATCTTTTGTAATCTCTCTCTCTACCCCTCTAAGCTTTCAGGCCTTTGACAAAACTACAAAGATAGGAACCTACAAGACGAGCAACCTTACCCGATAAGGTTTAACCTTGCCCGACCTTCTTTGCTTTAGTTTTGTCTTTTCAATATGTTGTATACTTCCAATTATATGCAAGTTATTTCTAGCAACATGACCATTAAAAAGCTTTCTCAGCACTTGAATCTGATTTGAATATATTATCAGTGTTCAAACCAGATCCAAGTACTAAGCCCTCGGGCATGTAAATCTGATCAGTTAAAAGTCCTTGGCCTCAAGGCATAAAAAAGAACTTTATGTGGACTTAACCCATCCACGACAGTCCTTGATAAACGAGAAGTCCAAAGTTACTTAGGGCGCAAGTAATCAATCTACCTTCTAGTTTTCTTTCTATTATACCATGATTATCATAGAACGTTTGAGCGTGGAATGGATTCTAATGGAAAGCCTCAAGGCCTACACCTAAGGCCCCACAAAGGCATCCATTTGGATTCATTCCGTTCGGCGATCTAAAGAGTCTAAGTATAAGAATGAACTCTGATGGGAAGCCTCAAGGCCTACACCTAAGGCCCCACAAAGGCACCTATTTGGGTTCATTCTACTTCTTGGATTCGGGTAATCAGAAGTATAATAGTTAGAAAACTCATACAACCATGAGAACAAATATGATGCGTTCGAGCACTGGTTTAGTTATTTATGGGAAGCCTCAAGGCCTACACCTAAGGCCCCACAAAGGCACCTGTTATAACTAACACGGTTTCTCGAATACATACATATGTACAACTAAAGCACGACAACCATTTTACGTCTGCCATGCTAAAGATGGCAGTGGCACGCCTGAGCACCTAAATGTTAACCTTGATTGTGAGCCTCAAGGCCTACACCTAAGGCCCCACAAAGGCACCTCTCAAAGTTAACGATGTCCTTCTCTTTCAGCCTTGCCCGAAGAGTCTTGTCCGACGAGACTTGCCCGACAACGCTCGACAGCGAAGCAGAAGCCCGACAGTAGCCCTCAACCGGCGCCAACCTCCAAGGGAGCTGTGTGCTCGTCGGCCAAGAAACATCCCCGACGGAAATTCCTGACACGAACACCTCTTATTTTATCTAGTTTTATTAATTAATTTCATATTCCAAAAGGTTGGAAGTTCTTCACCTACACCTACGTTATCGTTGAAGGGACAGAAAAAGGCTTGTAGAGTTTTCCAGGTACTCTTTTAAATATTTAGTGCATTATATAGGATCATATTAATAGCTTTATCTGAATAGTTTATTTTCTATAACAAAACCTTCCATTTTTCTGATTGTGTTAATTATTTCAACTTGAGTAATAGTGTCTTTGACATTGTTTCAGGGAGGCAGCGTTGGCCATCTTCATAAACTGCTTTCAATTGAGTCAAGTTCACAGGTGAACTATTCTTTCCTGGAAGTACATCAGTTGCAAGAAAAACCGATGCTACCAACAAACTTGGGTCTAATATTTTACACATTTTTCATAAGTTCTTTATGTTGGTGACCATATATATGGAGATATTTTGTGCAGCAAAAAGGTTCTTGGTACTGAGTCTTCTAATTTCCTTTTTTTTTTCCCAGATTTCAGTTATCTGTGTCACTTCTTTAAACAATGTGCGTGTTTTCTTTCTTCTACGTTGCTTCCCCAAATGTGATCATATTTTCCCTAATTTCTTGTCATTATGGATAGGGTGGAGAACAATGCTTGTCGTTCCAGAGCTAGAGAGGGAGGTTGAACTCTTATGGGAATTGAGAGATACCCGCAAGGTCTTTCTAAAACTTCTTGTGAAACTGCTGTAATGTGGTATCATGATCAACAAGCTAACTTGTATGCTAGTTCATACAGCAACTTTGATTGTTGAGGAATGAACGCGATCTAATTGAAGACAAAATACATCATCTAAAGTGGTCTCTCAAGTCAGTGTTCATCTAGAATTTTATAGTACTTTTATTTATTAAATTTTCAATTGTGAGCGAAAATTTACACAGAAATGCTATTGCCCTTATCAGATATGACGATTTTAGTACTGTGGAGAAGCAAAAATTATCTTTTGAATGCAATGCTTTGGAGGTAAGCCTGTTAAACTTGCCGAGTAAAGTTTATTTCAGCTGCTTAAATATGTTGCTCAACGGGAATGGCTTATTTGGTTTGCAAGATGCATTGGGATGTTTCTACAATAAGAACCCAAAGAAATCAAGGTTAAGACTTTCAAAGCAACTAATTGATAAAGAATAAGAAAAAAAATTTACCTTCACCCAATCATGTAGTATTTCGTCATTATCCACAACAACACATTTTTTTTCATCATCCCAGCCAAATCCAGATGTATTCATCATGTCATATGCAGATGAATACTTTTCTTTCAGACGCTTCAATTTGTTTTGTATATGCTTCGACTCTATATTAATGCCAGGAATCTGTTCCCTCATCTTGGAGGCAACCATTACAAAAGTACCAGCCTTAAAACTGCCGGTCTCACACCTAACACCATCAGCAACCATCTCCTCGAGGATGGTAAGTAGTACATCCTCCTCATGATCAATCCAATTACGTGAGGTGGCCATATAATCTATCAAAGAAGCCATATATTACATAAGTAACACAAATAAACATAGATATAATGAATAGAAAACCACATTCATATGTTGTTTCCATTGAAATCTTTAAATTAGAAACACAATCAAATGACAATGACTAAATTTATATTAGTTGTACTAATCAATTACCAAAACAAAACTATTTATAGGCTCCTCGATTGTCACAAGTAGGGTCTAATTTCTTCAAGTACTAAGTAGGGTCTAATTTCTTCAAGTACCTGGAGCAAATTGTATATACAAATACATAAGAGGACATCCCTGAAATCAAGCATCCAATTTCCTTATTTTTTCGGCTATATTTGGAACTCATCTAAACATGAAATTATTATCTTTCGTTCCATCACAATTCATCTGACATGCAGTCCACACTTTACGCAGTAAAGACATTTGATTTCTTCCTAGTATCAACATATCAGTCAACCGAAAGGAAAGAATTATATTTAACCAAAAAAAAAACAAGAATGAACATACATACCGAAAATAAATACACAATTCTATAACATTAGAAGGCTGATCAGGGTTTTAAACTTCTCACGGTCATTGTAGAGCATGACAGTAAGTCACAGGAGTAAGTATCCTAGGTTTTAGTCAAACACTCAAGGCTGACTAAAGTGGTTTAACAATGACATCTCCACTCAAATTTCCCTAAAAATGCATAGATATGTGTCCCTAAACTTGAATTTTTATTGATAAATCTAACTTGTGGAGACGAATTGTGAAATACTAGAAGAACAAAGTTTTGAAGACACAAAACTGAAAACCAATTTCACAGAAAACAGATATAAATTAGGGTTTGCCCAAAGCTTAGGTTTATCAACCTCAGAGGTTTTAGCATTAGGTTTGCAGGACTGAGTACAACTACGTGGAAGAGAACAACAATACCTTGAGGAATGCAGGAAGCCATAAATAAACAAATTAACATATCAAATTAAATATCAAAAAAGCCATAACATTTAGTAACACAAATAAACATATCAAAGAAGCCATAACATCCAGATAACTCCTAATTACCACATTACAATAACAAACATCTCAATAGTCTTGATGTTACGAATTTTCAAGCCAATTACAACAACTACATTGAGTCCACATCTCAATAAAAGACAATTACAACAACTACCATGTCAACCAATTTTCATGCCCTCCTTCCTCTCCACTCATCATATATTTCTCTTGCAAGATCATCCCTCCATTGAGTCCATATCTGGCTTGACTCAACGGTTTCAATGTAGGCTAATACTTCTGGTAAATCTTCCCCTATAGGTAATTCATCAAATGCAAGCCTTGCATTTTCCTCAGGATCAACCGCCATATATATTCTGATAAAATTATGAAGTAAACTACATGCGGTGATCATTCGTCCCTGAATCTTGATTGGATAGTGGGAAGGGCTTCGTAAGATAGCCCAACATCGTTTGAGGAGGCCAAAACATCTCTCAATAACATTCCTAGCACGTGAGTGTTTCATATTAAAATATTCTTCATGATTCCTAAGTGCACGTGAATTGTCTTCCCACTCTTGCAAATGGTATCTAGTGCCTCTATACGGTGCCAGAAAACCCTCACCATTCGTATATCATAAATCAACCAAATAGTATGTACCTATATTAGTTGATAATAAATTTTAGTTGTTGGCCAACAAAGGTAAGGAAAAATACTAGGTGCTTGTCTATCTTACTAGTTGGGACCTTGAGGCCATTAGCTCTAGTAACAGCGTCACCAAGAACTCTCGAATCAGTAGCTGATCCCTCCCAACCAGATAACACATATACGAATTTGAGGTCGCGTGTGCATACGCCTAACACATTAGTTGCTATATGACCCTTGTTCTATATCTTGGTCTATTGACATCAGGCACAGTGACCCCTATGTATGTTCCATCTAGCGCTCCTAAGCAACCCTAGACAAAAGAAAAACTTATATTAATTAGCAACTACAAATAATTATGTTATTAATGATTTTACTATGATGATTACCTTAAAGCATTTCCATCTCGATTCCGTGCAATCCTCTGGTATAGGGGTTGGTTTTGCAAACAACACATCTTGCAAACTGAGCAACGCACGCAATACTCTGCGGACATACCGACTAATAGTTTCACCAGACCTAATGAATCTAACTTGCATTGACCTATTTTTATTGTGGTGGGCTAATATGTTGACAAAAGTAGCTACTTGCTCCTCTATTGTAACATGACCATCATCTACCAATCCACCACGAGTTTGTAGTAAATCACATAAAACTGCAAATGCATTCCTATCCATTCGCAGCTCCCACAAACAGTGAGTATCACTCAATCGTGTGATACGATTTATTTCCTCTCTCCTAACATGAAGTCTAACAAATGTCATCTGCTCTAAACTAGCTATTTCCCGTTGTCTCCTTTGTTGTTGTCTATACCTCAACAATTGTGCATTCATAGTAAATACTTGTGCCATTATAATCCAAACGTTCAAAAGAACAAAGAATTGAGTCTCATATTCATCCATACCTTCACATGAAAAAAAAAAACATATGCAGGATTCAATTATTGAATGAATCAAAATATGATACTATATTTTCAGAAACATCAAAAGAACCCTAATAGGAATTGATAATGATAAAAGCGTCCAAACTAAAACCTGGGATGACATATTGTGAACCACAAAGAGTAAATTGCAAATAAAAAACAAAGTCAACATAGGGTCAGTGGATACTATACCTTAAAAAAATATGTTCAAGAGTGATCTGTACTACACCAGTTACTACAGTGGTCCTCATTAGTTTGTACATAGTGAAAACTTATAAGCCCTTAATCCCAACCTAACCACAGATTGAACTAAAAATGGAAATCTCATCACTACCTTCGGATTCACCTAGTAATCCCCTCTTGTATAACAGTAACAAAAAAAAAAACCTAATAACTTGTGGTAAAGGATATTGACCAACTTGCACATGGAGATATCAAGGAATTACGGTAAGGGAATATCCATTTACTACAAACTTGCAGCAACTATAATTACCATCATTGTCTCAGCGACAACTAAAGTTTAAATTCCCATGTAAGTCAAGAGGAAAAACAAAACTAATCAACACCAATTTTGTAAAGCCCACAGGGAATTCGAAATTTAATCGACTTTGGTAGCTGGGCCACATAATGAGAGAAGATTATCAAAGTAGAACTAATGCATAAAATGCTTTTGGGAAGAAATTGAAGGGGGGAGTCGTTGACATCGAACCCAATGTCCCCATCAAGCCAAAATGGAATAGGGTGTGCATCAATATACTTGAATTACAAACAGCAAAAAGGGTTAACTTCTGTTTGCAATTTCTTTCTAAAATTTTGAAAACTTAATTGTAGTTAAAATTAAACTTAATTATAAGTGATGTTAAAATTAAACTTAATTATAAGTGATGTTAAAATTAAACTTAATTATAAGTGATGTGTCGTGCGCTAAATCGTTAAATTATTATAATAGTGTAAATTTAACAAAATGCTAGTAACTACATAAAGTCTAAATGTAGAGATTGATATCTTATATTTTTCTAGCTGGATATATGCGTTTGGCAACATTCGTTTGCTTAAAATTATGCAGAACAGTTTTCCAAAGTAGGTAGCTGATTGCCACCCAACAAAATCTACAACAACCAACCCCAACTTAACAATTTCACGAACCTAAAGTTTTATTTTTCCTTCTATTTCCTCCTTAAGCATTTATATCTATACACACTTATTCAGCTACTAATGATCGATCCAACAGAATCTAATCCAACAGAACTCAAAAACATTAGATTTGTAGATTTCAGCACATAAAAATCGAAACTTGAACACTAAAAAAAATCCAACAGAACCCAATCCAACAGAGGAAAATCCAAAACATAATCCAATCCAACAGAATCCAAAGACATCAGATTTGTAGATTTCAGCACATAAAAATCGAAACTTGAACACTGAAAAAAAAGAATCCAGATAGAGAGATACCTCTGAATGCAGTACTGCTTAATAGGGGGAGTGGAAGCAGATAAACAAAGGCGGATCTTTGGTTGCAGATGCAGTATTGGGCAGATCAAAGCACTACAACATACAAAGAAATCAAAACAAGCAAATCAGAAAAGAATACAAAGAAATCGAAGCACTACAAAATACAAAGAAATTCAGCATAATTAGGAATTTGGTGTTAATAAAATCGAAACAAGCAAATTAGAAAAAGAATAAAAATACCACTTCAAATTTACATCAAAATTAATTAAAGATATGAAAAGAGGGTCAGCGGTGAGAGCCGTGGCCAACCAACAATGCATGATGGTTGGGTTGATTAGCACTGCATCAATGTTGAAAAAAAAAAAAAAACAGACAACTCATGCACCATCTCGATCGATCGAGATTTCAGAACATGCAATGACTTGATGGCAACCCTAATTTTGGTTTTGCATAGCTAACCCTAGACAAGTGGTCAAAGGACTTTTGGGGTTTAGGATTTGCATCAAGTCAATATCCTTTAACTTTGCCTCCACTTGGGGTCAGGTTTGTAAGAAAATGGGGTTTTAGTTTCAACAATTGCAGCATGGATGGTGGACGAGTCAGTCCGTCCAAATGGGTAGGGTTTCCGATTGTGAGCCTCCAAAAAGTGGTATGAGGACTGAGAAATGAACATGTTTTTAATTTTCTGATTTTATTGCTGCAACAAACTAAATAGAGGGGAAATCCCAAAATCAAGTCTTACATTTTGGAGGCGTGTTTTCACCAAATCAGCGCAATACAAAGAAAGAGAGACCGAGAGGCAGATCGTACCTGGACTGGAGATGCAGAGCTGAAGTTCACAGAGAAGGTTGCAAAGGGGAGATGCAGAGGATGAGGAGGAAGGTTGCGAAAGAGGGGAGATGCAGAGGAGAGGAATGAGGAAGACAGCGGCAGGCAAACAGAAGAGATTGTTTTAGGGTTTGTAATGATTTAGATGGTGTAATTTTTGAAAAAGATATGGGGTACATTTGTCTTAAAATGGTAAAATATTGTGTTCCACAGGCGTGGAACAACCCGTTCCAGGGGGTAGACGCGGGACACAAAAACACCAAAATTCTGTCCCGTGGGACAGCGCGTTCCACCCTTTTTTGGCCTACCAAACGCGGGACGGAACGCTTCGTCCCGTCCCGTCCCGCGTACCAAACGCACCCTAGGAGAACGCAACCTAGGAGACAAGATAGATTGCTGGGAGGAAGGACGTCCTAAATTTCAAATCTGATTTCTGCTACTGGTAGTGTATAATAAAGGGAAAATGAGGGCATGATTGATTTTTGAAAAATTCATTTAATGATATTGTTCACCCGTGTTATAAGACCAAAAAATAAAATAAAAAAATAAAAAACTAGTTTTTTGAAGCTGACTTTTGTTGTTTCAGTTTTTAGTTTTTTTCACTCAAAATTGTGAAATAAACTTGTTAAATCCCACATCGTCCAGGGAAGTGGATCCTTTATGTCTTATATGTACATGCCCATCTCCTTTAGCACGAGGCTTTTTGAGAGCTCACTGGCTTCGGATTCCATAGGAACTCCGAAGTTAAGTGAATTCGCGCGAGAGCAATCCTATGATGAGTGACCTACTGGGAAGTTCTTGTGTGAGTTCCCAGAAACAAAACCGTGATGGCGTGGTTGGAGCCCAAAACGGACAATATTGTGCTACGGTGAAGTCGAGCCTAGGATGTGGTGGAGCCCGGGTCGGGAAGTGACAATTTGGTATCAGAGCCAATCCAAAGTGTGCCGATAAAGACATCGGGCCCCTAAGGGGGATGGATTGTTAGATCCCACATCGCCTAGGGGAGTTGATCCTCTATGCATTATATGTACATATACATGCCCACCTCATTTAGCACAAGGCTTTTTGGGAGCTTACTAGCTTCGGATTCCGTAGGAATTTCGAAGTTAAGCGAGTTCGCGCGAGAGCAATCCCAGGATAGGTGACCTACTGGGAAGTTTCTGAAGGAATTATTTTGAAAAACATGTTCATTTGAGCAACATCATATAGCATGCAATTAACAATTAAAAGGCGGAATCATGCTTGTATGTACTCAAAAACAAAACATGACCATGAAATTCAAAGCCTAGTAGATTGGTGAACCAATAATCAACTCAAAAATAAGTGAGTTGAAATTAATACCTTTGTAGATTCCTCTTTGCATAAGCAAAGGCTAATCACCCAAAGAGATAGGGCCTTCATTCCTTGCTTCTTAGATCCATGGATTTGGATGGAAGAATAGGTTCTCCAAGTTCCCAAAATTGAGAACCTCTAAGTCTCTACACCAAGGAGAGATTGGATGATGAATGAGTGACCTTGGAGGATTAGATGACTAGCTAATCACCTCCAAGGTGTTGGCCTCTTTAGAGAGAAAATGGAGAGACAATTCTCACCCATTTTCCCCAAAAATAAACCCTTATTTCACTTAATGAATATTTGGCTATAAAGTCATTTATATAGTCACTTCTTTAAGTGACCTAAATAACCAAAACCCTAATTCATTCCTTATGGCCGGCCATTTAGGGATTTTTGGGCTTTTGGGCTTTAATGAATCTTTATTCATTAAATTGTCATACAACTTAAGTTAATGGGCTTGACGTTCGAAGCCCATTGGGCCTTAAGGTCCAAAACTATCCCGTGGTCTTTAACGAACTTATTCGTTTGATTAATTAACATATTAATTAATCCTTGCCATAAATAATTAAACCATTTCAATTAATCTTACTCATTTCATTTATTTCGTCCATCTCTACCTTACACGGTGTACGATCCATTAGGTTCCTTTTAGCGAGGTAGTGGGCGATTAAAACCATTTTACATCGATTGTGAATTGAAACTATTTTCAATTCTCCCTTTAGTGATTACACACGTTTAGGGCTTCCACAAACCATGAGTGACACCTAGCCGTATGTCATGGTTACCCAAGCTAATCAGAAGAGGTGGAGAACCTATTCAGTCTGGGATTACAAATGCAATACGGTCCTTCTCTAATCTAATACTCTTGACCACATTGTTTGGTTTGATAGTTTATTTTCTCATGTCTACTATCCAATGTGTGTCTTGTGCTTATATGATTACCTTGAATGTGATTAGGAACGCATTCCCAAATCTCATTCATACTCTGGCCAGAGATTCAAATCATATCAGAGAGTATTCTCCTTCAAACGGTTTGAAGGTTAGAGATCCCTTGTTGCGCATTCACTTGTCTCCATAGCTAAGCGGCTTGACCCCAACGATGCCGTGGACACCCTCCTGGTGGGATGACTTTGACATAATCAAAGATCAAGGTCTTAACCACAAGACAACTATGATGCCTCAGGTCA